GCACCACCGCGCTCCCAAGTGGTGCACTGTAGCAATGCACCACCGGGCGGCCCAAGACAGATTATTAAATATATGGTGCTGAGACAACTGGGTAGCCATCTATGAAAAATAACATTGTATTCCTGCCTATCTCAGTACAACATCCCCAGGCCGGCCCAGTGGCGCACTGCTACAGTGCGCCGCTTGGGAGCGCAGCGACCCTCCCGCTGAGGGTTCGGATCCCACATACAGATCGGATCCCACATACAGACTGGTTCCCACTGACTGGCTGAGCGAGGTGCGGGTGCGACACTGAGGGTTGCGATCCGTTGCCGGACACGAAAAAAGACAAAAAGGAAAAAAAAAATCCCCAAAGCACAATTAATTAAGTATTTAAATTTTAAAACATAACCATAAAAGATGGAAGCATGGGGATTTAAAAATATATATTGGAGTGGAAAAGATGATTTACAAACATAACACCTAAACAGATGCTATATAGGCACAAATTGATAAGTTTACAACACGAAACCTCTAAATCGCTAAATGGCAAAAAACTAAGCAAAATAAGATAAATAACAAACCAAAATCTGGGGGAGAATGTCACTTTCCATCATTTATAGAGGTCTTACCAGGCAATTAGAAAAATACTAATCACCTAACAGAAAAATGACATTAAAACACATTGCACAGAAAATTTAGTATTTAAAAATAGGAAAACAAAAAAGAAAAACAAAAAAAGACAAAGAAAAAAAAGGAAAACATGCTCAACTTTAAATTTAGTAGAAAAATGCAAATTAAAAGTATAATAACATTTTCTACTTTACATACTGGCAAAAGTCAAAGAATTTAAAAGACCGTTCTGGCAAAAGCATGGGAAAATGAGCACTCTCCAGTGCACCACTGGGCCGGCCCCATATGTGCATTTTTAATAAGGCTAAATTTCCTTTGTTTAGTTTTACCAATTTACATTTTTTTCTGCAGTGTAGTAGAGTGCTCATTTTCCCATGCTTTTGCCAGAACGGTCTTTTAAATTCTTTGACTTTTGCCAGTATGTAAAGTAGAAAATGTTATTATACTTTTAATTTGCATTTTTCTACTAAATTTAAAGTTGAGCATGTTTTCCTTTTTTTTCTTTGTCTTTTTTTGTTTTTCTTTTTTGTTTTCCTATTTTTAAATACTAAATTTTCTGTGCAATGTGTTTTAATGTCATTTTTCTGTTAGGTGATTAGTATTTTTCTAATTGCCTGGTAAGACCTCTATAAATGATGGAAAGTGACTTTCTCCCCCAGATTTTGGTTTGTTATTTATCTTATTTTGCTTAGTTTTTTGCCATTTAGCGATTTAGAGGTTTCGTGTTGTAAACTTATCAATTTGTGCCTATATAGCATCTGTTTAGGTGTTATGTTTGTAAATCATCTTTTCCACTCCAATATATATTTTTAAATCCCCATGCTTCCATCTTTTATGGTTATGTTTTAAAATTTAAATACTTAATTAATTGCGCAAGATAACACTGTGTAGGCCGAACGAACATAAATGAGGAAGTTGTTTGTGTACTGACATAGAATGACATCCAAAATAGATGCTGATAAAAGTGTAGCTGTTGGGCCGGCCCGGTGGCGCACTGCTACAGTGCACCGCTTAAGAGTGCTGCGGCGCTCCCGCCGAGGGTTCGGATCCCACATACAGACCGGTTCCCGCTCACTGGCTGAGCGAGGTGCGGGCGCGACACTGAGGGTTGCGATCCGTTGCCGGACACGAAGAAAAAAAAAAAAAAGTGTAGCTGTCAGGAAGAGGAACTGGGGTTTGAGGACAGGTATGTGATGGAGACTCACCTTTCATTGTGTACTCTTGCATGCTTTTACAAAATATGACCTTGAGCAATGTAACACATTACAGAAAAATTCTATAGAAAAATAAATTTTAAAATAGGGTAATATCTTTCAATCAATATTCCTTGATCACATTCTATACTGAAATGCCCTCATGGGAATCATACTTTTCAAGCATTTGTCAAATTTAATTACTTCTTAATAGTCAGATTACCCCTGTGTCTGTCAACTGTTAGTTTAACTAAAAGGTTTTGTAAAATTTTGGTTCTCACTTAATTTTTGCTTATAATCTGTCATTTTCAATTTCATATTTTAAAATTTTTTCTATCATCTTGAGACAGATGATTTCATCATTGATTTCAGCTTCCTAGAAACATTTCCTACTAGTCCCTAGAAGTGCATTCCATAATTATCAAAAGTGAAATTTTTCTATTTAAAAAACCCTGGGGCTGGTTAGTTAGCTCAGTTAGTTAGAGCATGATGTTATAACACCAAGGTCAACGGTTCAGATCTCCTTACTGGCCAGCCAAAAAAACAAAAAGAAAAAGAAACAAACAAAAAAAACACCCAACTCATTTCCATTGTGGTGTTTTCTTTAACCAATGGTTATTCAGAGGTGTTATTTAAAAGTATATTTCTATGCATGCATTGAAACACACTGTACCCCACAAATAAGTACAATTAAATTTTTTTTTTTTTTTTTTTTTTTTTTTCCGAACATATAGAGACTTTTGCTATGGACTTCTATTTATATGTAAGATATTTTGTATAATTTCAGTCATTTGAAATTGGTCAGACTTGCTTTATGCTCCAAGATACAATAAATAATTTCTTAAATAAAAGAATGGTATTTTATAATTTCTGGATAGTCTATAGACATCCACTATATCAGATTCTTAAACAGCATTCATTCAAATGTTCTATTCAGATTTTGTGCCTACTTGGGAGGTATGTTAAACTGTAGGTTTATCTTTTTTCTTTGAAGTCCTATGAACCTCTGCTTTTCATTTACGAAGGCTGTGTTATTAGCTACATACAGATAGCTTACTCATACTTACACCCTCCTAATGAAATGAATCTTTTGACATTATGATGTTTCTACCTTTTTTAGTATATGTATTTTTTTCCTGTCTTTCAAATCTGTCCTTACTTGCATTCTAATTTTAATTAATTACTGATCTTTTTTAATACTTACCTTCACAAAAGACATTAATATATCATGGACATTTTGGGATGCTATCATTGCCCATTTTTTTTAAAACGGTAATTTAACTTTGTAGAAAGAATCGACAAATTATTTATGGTGATTATCTATTCCTTCAAAATTTCCTTGGTAAACAGTGCCTCATGTTTTTTTTTAAGGTAGAAACTGACAAATTTTTCAATTTTTTTGAAGGGTATAATGACTTTATTCAAACTTTCTATAGCTTGATGAATCAATTAGAAAAATTTACATATTCCTGTAAAATAAAGTTTACTCTAGATATTTCTAATTTAATTGAAATAATACAGAACAAAATATTTAATAATATTAAAAATGTACAGCCTGTAAAATTTCCACTTTCGCACTTGCATTGTTGCATTTGTGTCATTTCTCCTCTTGATCACACCAGGCAAAATCAAGTCTATGTTACTGGTTGTTTCAAACAGATTTTAGATAAGCCCACTGTTTATCCATCTCATTAATTTCTCTAAGTAATTCATTCAAATTCATTGAATGAACAAATTAATTTATGTAATACATGTCTAGTGTTGGCTTTGGGTTTATTGCTTCTCTGCTTGAATATTTAAATATTTATCAAAAATGAGCCACATACCTCAGGTTTTATTATGTAGGACTCTCGTTATCTTTCATATCTAAACAGCCTGTCACTTTAAATTGCATTTTTCTCTTAATCCAAGAATTATATATGGTGGTGTTTAGAAATTTCAGTTTTTGAAAATTCACCTTTTGTTAGTATCTTATTGCCTGAGTTATTCTCAGAAAATGTACACTGCTTTTTGAAATCTGCTACAAACATATCACTTCTTACATCACCTTTACTCTAAAAAAAACTTAATAAATCCATACAGTGTCTTTCCAGAGTGAATTCTCTGATTCACTAAAACAAGGTTAAATAAACATTTCCTCATACTCATTATATTCTAATAATTTTCGTTCCAGGATATATATTACCACAGATTTACTGTGGGACAAGTTGAGATGGTAGATTCTATAAATATTAATAAAATTTTCATGGTTAAATCTTGTTATATGAATGTTCCAAGGGTAGTTATAAAGATGATAATGGTGATAGCCAATATTTGGTGAATAGTTTCTGTTTGACAATAACTATTCCAAAGGTCTTTGCCTGAATTAATTCATTTAATTTTCACAATAACCATATCAGAAAGTTAAAAAACAGTAATCTGAAGTACACAGAGTTTAAATTACTTAGTAATAAAACACAGGTGGTGCATGATGAAACTACAGTGATGCTGAAAAAGATTTATATTAAAGGTAGAAGATTTTCTACATTCAGAAAGTCAACATGGTTATATTCTATAGTTACACTATAACCAAAAACTCTGTTTTAGTCGTTAACAAAATTAATATTTTGTTTTTTTACCAATTAATATTTTTATTAATTTTCCTGTGTAAACTCTGATAATAAATTGTGAGATATGAGGCAAAAGAAATTTACACAGTCACTGGGTTTTCCTCTTACAAACTGTTTGCTGTTTCATAATGAATAATTGAAAACTCAAGGGTTTCCAATATTAATCATATTATAAGTGATATCATGTTGAGTATAGTGTGAGAGTAGGTCTCTACAGATACCTGACTTTCAAAAGACTTCTTACCAGTACAAATTCTGATATGTAAATGGATACCCGAGGAACAGATAAAGTGTTTCCCACATTTCTTTTCTTTTCTTTTTTTTTTTTTGTGACCGGTAAGGATATCGTAACCCCTGGGCTTGGTGTTGCCCACACCGCGCTCAGCCAGTGAGCGCACCGGCCATCCCTATATAGGATCTGAACCTGCGGCCTCGGTGCTCTCAGCACCGCTGCGCTCCCAGCACCGCACTCTCCCGAGTGAGCCACAAGGGTCAGCCCTCCCACATTTCTTATATTTATAAGAGTTCTCTCAAATCTGAATTTGGGGATTTGGGTAAAGACTGTTAAATACATGAAAGACAATATTCAAATACATAGGATTTCTCACCTCGTGTGTATTCTCTGGTGCCTCTTTACCTGTGAAAGACAAGTAAAGACCTTCCCACATTCCTTACATTCATAGGGTCTCTCACCAGTATGAATTCTTTGATGTTGAGTAAGATGTGCCCTCTGCCTAAAGGCTTTCCTACACTCCCGACATTCAAAGGGTTTCTCGCCAGTGTGAATTCTCTCATGTTGAATAAGAGTTGAACAATCAATAAAGGACTTCCTACATTCTTTACACTCATAGGGTTTCTCACCAGTGTGAATTCTATGATGTATAAAAAAATACGATGCACTCTTAAAAGCCTTCCCACATTGCTTACATTCATATGGTTTCTCACCAGTATGAATTCTTTGATGTTGAATAAGATGTGCACTTTGCCTAAAAGCCTTTTTACATTCCTGACATTCATAAGGTTTCTCATTAGTATGAGTTCGCTGGTGTTGAGTAAGTGTTGAGCAATTATTAAATGCCTTGCCACATTCCTTACATTCAAAGGGCTTTTCACCAGTGTGAATTCTCTGATGTTGAACTAGAGTTGAGCGACTATTAAATGCCTTCCCACATTCTTTACATTCGTAAGGTCTCTCACCACTATGAATTTTCTGATGTCTATTAAAGTCAGAGACAGAAGCAAAGGCCTTCCAACATTGCTTACATTTATGGGGTTTCTCACCAGTATGAATTCTTTGATGTTGAATAAGATGTGCACTTTGCCTAAAAGCCTTTTTACATTCCTGACATTCATAAGGTTTCTCATTAGTATGAGTTCGCTGGTGTTGAGTAAGTGTTGAGCAATTATTAAATGCCTTGCCACATTCCTTACATTCTCTTTCTACATTCCGGACATTCATAGGGTTTCTCATTAGTATGAGTTCTCTTGTGTTGAATCAATGTTGAACAACAGACAAAAGCTTTCCCACATTCTTTGCACTCATATGGTTTCTCACCAGTGTGAATTCGATTATGTTTAGTAAGGTGCGCATGCTTTCTAAAGGTCTTCCCACATGTCTGACATTCATACGTTTTCTTATTAGTATGATTTATTTGATATTGAGTAAGTTGGGAGTCATAAGTAAAGTCTCTGCTACATTCCTTAAATTCATCGCATTTCTTTCCAGGAAGACTTTGCTGATGTTTCATATGGTTTGTATAAAAAATAAAGGCCTTTCCACACATTTCATCAAGTTTGTCACCGGTATGAATTCTTACCTGTTGAGAAAGGTCTTCAAAGGTTTTACGTTCACAGAGTTTCTCGCCAGCATAAATTATTTTTTTTAGAATAAGGGAGGTAGGCTGGATGAATTCATTTGATATTTTTTCAAATGGGACTGTCACATGCCTGAAATATTCCTCTTTAGTTTCCTGTTGTCTCTTAAATAGTCCCTTGACTTTCCCGTCATTTCCAAAACAAGATTCCTCAAGGCAAGAACTTCTGACACTCTCCATAATTTTCCATTTTAATGATTCCTTTTCAAAAATGCCATTCGTTAGGGATAACTCCTTAGTCTCATACCTAGATAGAAAATCTGAAAGAAAATAAACATTATATTTTAATGTTTTAGAGGAAATGAAACTTCTATGTTAGAAGCAAACAGAAAATAATACTCTTAAGAGGTAAATGACTTAGATAACTTTCAAATACAGTCAGCTCTCCACATCCATGGGTTCTGCATCCATGGACTCAACCAACCACAATCAAAAATAGTCCAAAAAAAGATTGTGTCTGTATATTGAACATGTACACTTTTTTTCTAGCCATTATTCACTAAACAGACTTTTTTTCCAGTCATTATTCACTAAACAATACAGTATAACAACAATTTACATAGTGTTTATTATATTAGGTAATATAAGTAATCTAGAGATGATTTAAAGTACATGGGAGGATATGCACAGATTATATGCAAATACTCTGCCATCTTATATCAGTGACCTGAGCATCCATAGATTTTGGCATCTGAAGGAGGTCCAGGAATCAATCCCCCACAGATACTGAGGGCCTACTGCACTGGCATTCAATTTGGAAAAAAAAAAGGTTGAAATGGCTGTATTAATATCAGGTAAAAGAGACTTCAAGGTAATCTATATTATTAAAGATAATTTTATCATAAAGATAAAACAGTCAATTAATCAGAAAAACTTAGCAATCAGAAATGTGTAAATGCATACTACAGAGCCTCAAAATAACATGAAGCAAAAATTGACAGGAATAAAGCAAGAAATAGACAATTCTACTATCATAGCTGGAGATTTACAACCAGCTCTCAATAATTGACAGAACAACCAGAACTCCCCCCCCCCAGAAAAAAATCAGTAAAGAAACAGCAGATATAAATAACAGTGTCTACTAACTTCAACTAGTTGGTATTTATAAAACACAGCATGAAAAAGTGCAGGATACATTTTGTTCAAGTGAAGTTAATGTTTAATGGCTGGGCTATTAAACAAGCCTTATACACTAAACAAAAAAAACCCAGAATCATGCAGAATATGTTCTTTGACTGCAACAGAACTAAATTTGAAACCATTAAAATATCTAGAAAAACCTCCCAATATTAGGAAAGTAAACAATACAGGAAATTAGAAAATATTTAGAAAGGAACAATAATGAAAGTATACCTTATCAAAATGCGTGTTACATAGCCAAGGTAGTAGTTAGAGGAAATCTGTAGCTTTAAATGCTTATATTAGAAAAGAAAGGTATAAAATAAACAACCTAAGGTTCCACTGCAAGACAGTAGAAAAAGAACAAGGTAAAACCACAATCAGTAGAAAGTAATTTTAAGAATAAGAGAAGAAATCAATGAATTAGGAAACTGATAAATAATAGAGAAAATTAACAGAGCCAAAAAAGCTGGTTCAATGAAAAGATCAACATGCTTGATAAACACGTCAGCCAAACTGATAAATAAAAAAAAAGAAAAACACAACCATCAGGTACAAAAGAGAAGTTTTCTAATTACACATCCTATATAAATCAAATAATAAAAATAACAAATTAAATGAATAAGAAAATATTATGAACCATTTCATGCCAATAAACACAAGTAAGATAAAATGGAAACATTCCTTGAAAGACACAAACTGTCAAAAGATTACTCAAGAAGAAACAGGTAATACAAATAGCTACATATCACAGAAATTGCAATTATAGTGAAAACATTGCCCCAAGGACATGGCCCAAATGGCTTCCTAAATAATCAAGGAAGAAATAATGCCAATTCTACACAAAATCTTTTGGATTACAGAAATGGCTCCAATTCACTGCAGGAGCTCAACATTACCCTGCTACTAAAACCAGAAAAAAAGACATTAAAAAACTACAGATTTTCCTTATAAATACTAGTGCAAAAATACTTTTAAAATACTAGCAAATAGAAAACAATAATATGTATAAAATACAAGAGTACTTCAAAAAGTTTGTTGAAAAATTGAATTGAACGATAATATAATCTTTCCATGAACTTTTTGAGGACCCCTCATATACAACACAACATGACTCAGAGGAGTTTATCCCATAAATACAAGTTGGTTTAATATTTGAATGTCAATTAACATAATTCAACATATTAAAAAATTTAAAAAGCAAAATGATATGATCATTTGGATAATGGCAGAAAATACTTCTGACCAAATTCAGCACAGAATGATCATAAAAATTCTTACCAAACTAGAATAGAAGGGAACTTACTTTCTCAAGTAAATGGCATCAGTCAAAATGTATAAGAAACATTGTATTCAATAATGAAATATTGAAGGCTTTCTCCCTCAGAGCAGAAGCATTGGGAGTGATTAAAGTGTTTATTATCTTAATCATAGTGATGGTTTCACAAGTATACACATATATCAAAAATTTATCAAATTGTACACTTTAAAACATACAGTTTCATTATATGTCCATAATGCCTCAACATATCTGCAAAAAAAAATAAAAATAAAAATAAGGTCTTTGTAAAAAAATCTGACATTCTCCCCATTTCTCAAACTTTTTCCCAAGACCTTGGGCCTTTGAGGGAAGTTTTCCATACAATATCTCAAAGGAAAGACTCCACCACTCTGACCACTTTGGGCTTCTCTGACATGCATTCCTGATGCTCCACAACACTCTTACTCACCTGGGTACCATCCTGCTTTCCCAGCCATCCAAGGTTCTTTTCCCTGTTCCAATAAGGAAATCACTGATGGCTTTGAAATGGTAAGTCCTGCTCAAAGAAATAGGATGTTAAAAATAAATATATAAACTAAAAAATATTTTGATTTAGTGCTGGTTTCATCTAAAGCAAATTCAGGTTCCTCAGAAGAATGAGGGAGATAGAAAATAACTATTTGGCAAACACCAGAGTAAATAATTATTAAATATAGGAATCATCAATGAAAACTAAAATATGTCGGGAAAGTGTCGTGCAAAAGAGGATATTTGCAGAGTCTCAAAGTACTTCACTACAAGCTACTTACTGATTGCAAAGGTAAACATAGTGACTTTACAATGTAGAACCTTGGCAGATGCCTCTTTAACCAACTGATTGAAGTTAGCATCACCAGTAACAAGAAATATGGACATTTATCTCCTGATGTGATGCACAGAAAAACACATAAATCACTTCTGTAGTATTCTTGCCAAAAATATATAACCTTAATCTAATCATAAAATACCAGACAAACCTGAATCCACGAATATCATATGTAACAACAGGCTAGCACAGTTTAAAAGTTTTAAGGTCACAGAAAAGAAATTTCCAAGATTGGAGAGGACTACAGAGACATGACAACTAAATGCAATGTGTGATCCTGGCTCAGTACAAGTACACGACCAGGATAATTAATGACATGTGAATATGGATACAAATAATTTAGTAATATTGTAAGAAAGTTCATTTTCTGGTTTAGCTAATCATACTATGTAAATTATTAATAGGGAAAACTGGCAGAAGAGTATATGGACACTTGGCATACTGTTTAGCTCTAACTCTTAAAATCATTTCAAACTAAAAAAATTTTTAAATGGGCCCTAGAAAAGCTTCTGAATAAAAGAATGATGAAGAGGTTGGATAGGAAGGTCTTTAAAACATTCATAGAAAGATGCATATTCTCTTTTAATTCCATATTTCCATGAACTTTTAAAATTACCATCGCATATTCACATTAAGCTAACCTAAGGAACACAAGGAGGGAAAGGACAAATGAGGTGGGAAAGGTCTTATTAAATTTAAATATACATGGGTAAGAAAAACAAGAAGCTTCAAGACATAATCAATAGTTCTTCCTGTGAAATTCCTTCAACATTAAATGTAAAATTCCTAGACTGTAACTTTCAAACATAAAAAATGCCAGAGTATGTGTTTTTCTAAATTTTAAATCAACCATCATCTCCTAAATCCTAGAGGCTGTTCTGGAAACATCCTTCCACCATAATCTATCTCCTTCAAAATCAAGAAGAAAAGTTAATTACATAAAAAGGGTAAAGGGTGAAGGTTTATTACATAATAAAGGGAAAGTTTATTACATAAAAAGGGAAAGGTGTGAAGGTCAGTGAAGAATAGGAAAATGAAGGTGCCTGAGAGAGGGACACTATTCCAACAAAACAAAGCTCAGAACAAGTTTTTGGAACAGGGAACAGGAATTTAGACATTTAATGCATCCCTAGAATTCCTAGTGGAGAGAGCATTAGGGGGAACAGACAACCTTACCCAGTGAGACAAAGCTGCCGTAGTTCTCCAGCATCACATCTCTGTATAAGTCTCTCTGAGCAGGGCCCAGGCATTCCCATTCTTCCTTAGAGAAGTCTATGGCCACATCCACGAATGTCACCAACCCCTGAAAGGAAAATTCCATGTAACATTTGTAATACTAAAGAAAATAAATTTCAGGTGAATAAAGGTACAAAAATAGGTTTTCTTGGAAGGCATTCTATAGCAAGCAATAGGTTAGAACTGGAATCAAATAACACAGGAGAAGGCGATAAGGAAATTAATAAAACGCCGTGTTGAACATTCTTGTGCTGTGGGGTGGATACAACCTCTTGCTCCTGTGGGAAACTTCTATTAATTAGAACATGTTGGGAAGCAAACAATGTAAGGGGAACAATGTAAGTGATATAAATTAAAATGGAATAGCTCTATTAATATGCTAAACACCATGTGCCTCTGTGCAGTGAAAGGTTAACTAAGCAGGCTCGGAGCTTTGAGCTCAAACCCTGCACATTCCGAAGAAAGAATGGCCTTTGACTGATTCCTAGGAAATAATCTCTGAGCTCTTGAATATTTTGCCTGGTGAGAGTGTTTCCGTATGCCCAAGATCTTGGGCTATATCAGTTTGACCCGTGGGGGACTAGAGACTGAGTAGCTTAGATCAACCATGTGAGCACTGCACATACCCCAATAAAAACCTTGGACACCAGGGCTTGGGTGAGTTTCCCTGGTTGGCAGTACTTCACCTGTAACACATCATGGCTGGGGGAGTCAAGTGCATCCCCATGCCATCCTACTGGGATGGAACACTTGGAATCTTGCAACTGGTTTCTCCTGGACTTTGTTCCATGAACCTTTCCCTTTCCTGACTTGAATCTGCATCCTTTCAATGTAAAAAACCATGACTGAGTATAACAGTATAACAACTGTCAGTATTCTGAGTCCTGGGAATCTAACCAAAGAATCACTTAGTCTGAGGATGGTCTTGGAGACACTCAACACAGTTCGCATCAGAAGTGGGATTTACTAGGAACACAGCAAAAGCATTGTTGGGAAAAAAGAAATAGGAGGGAGTGGGGGTTGATGAACCTTTGATACCTGGATGGCTACTGAGTCACCGTTGGTATGAGACAGCAGCTATGCTGCAATCAGTTACAGCAAGCTAAACGACATCAGTATCAGTGACTCTTCTCGCAAATGCATTTTTCTTGATCTCAGTCTTGGGAAAGAGCCAACCATAGCTTGCCTTCGTGGAGGGAAGATCACAATTTACATTTACTGTATTGCCACAGGGATATTTGAATTTACCAGCTTGCTGTTATAATGTGGTCAGGAAAGACTGGACTTGATGCAGGTCCTGGGTTTAACAATACTTTGATTATACAATATCAGAAACTGAAGAACAAGTTAGGACTGACTCCTGGGGAGAAGTCCCCACACACAGATGTAGCAGGGAGACTACATCAGGTGGCTGGCAGCCCTGGGAGGCTATAAGTGGATCCTGACAGCAATAGACCCTTGCCCTGGACTGGACTTTTGCATACCTGGTGGTTGATGTAAATGTTTGAAATACTATGAAAGGACTTGAATAGAAGAGAATGTACCAATTTAGACTGCTGTGTTACATTTCTTCAGACAAAGGGACACACTTTACACCCTGCAGTGTCCAATAAGGTGCAAAGGGATCTCACATAGAGTGGACACTGATCATGCTGTGCATCATCCTCAAAGTAGTGGTTTGATAGAGAATTGGAACAGGAGAGTGATACACCTGTGAACTAATGTGGGGGGAAATATAGCATGGAGGGCTGGCCTACATGCCTTCATGAGTATGTGTGCTCACACTCAAGATGAGAAAAGCCAAGACAGAATCCCCCCTAGATAGAATCCCCAGCTTTCCTGGGGTTGGGGGAAGAGCATGTAGGAGTGAATGCTGGTACAGCTGTGCAAATCGTCCTCACATCACCTGAACTTTCTTTTTTTCCTACATGGTGCAGTGGTACTGGGACCAGGGCTGCGACTCCAAGTGACGTAACCAGGGGTGATCCCTAAACAAGAAACTGTAACTTTACCTTTAAACCTTTATGCAGCATTCCTAGGGTCCTGGTAAGATAGATGGTCCCTGCACCCCATCTGGCAAAACTGGGGGTGACAACGAAAGCAGATCTGTTGCCTAGTGGTAGAGACAGCCCACTAGTTCTGCACCTATGTAACCTGACCCTATAGGAATGGGAATGGAATAAGCGAGGCGCAGGAGCGACGCCGAGGGTTGCAATCCTGTTGCCGGTCCCCAGTCCGGTACGGGGGCAACACTGAGGGTTGCGATCCGTTGCCGGACACGGAAAAAGACAAAAAAAAAAAAAAATTGGGGATGACAATGAAAGCAGATCTGTTGCCTAGTTGTAGAGACAGCCCACTAGTTCTGCACCTATGTAACCTGACCCTATAGGAATGGGAATGGAATGAGGGGTAGGTGCTTGTCAGATGGATCTTACTGCCAGCAATGTGGACAAGTACAGTGGCTGAACCTAACTTCTAACAGTGGAAAAGCTTGGGTGAAAATCGATGACAAATAGAGAAAAGGAGAAACAGTAGCTGAGAGTAAAGGAATGAATAAATGGGTTATATATGAGAGAAACCCAATATGACATTAGTGCCTTGAGAGAGGCTAAGAACGAGAGAATGATATTATCTCTTAGCACAATTATGCCAGATGCCCAAAAGGATGAAGCCATATGTTTGCTGAGACCGTCCCTGCTTTTGGAACCTGACACAGCCATCATTCTGGGAGACATTTTGGTCATACAATATGATGACCCAGACCAATCAATAATAACTGAGTGGAACTCTAATAATGTCACAGTATCTTTTGATTCTTATTTTTCAGGTAACATCTACTACAAAGGATATGATTTGGAAAGAAACTTGCAGAAATTAGTCTCTACAGGGTAATCAAACCACAGCTCCCAGCAGACTGATTTACTCAGTAGCTACAAACCTGAATGATCCATCGCTTAGAAAGATGTCCAGTTATAATGGACAAAAGAAAGCTGTGGCATGCTCAAACACATATTTCCTGTTTTTGTAAATGGAAAGCATTTTTTTTTTTCTGGTAGCTGGCCAGTACAGAGATTGAGCTCTAGACATTAGTGTTATCAGCGTCACACTGTAACCAACTGAGCTAACTGGCCAGCCCAATTGAAAGCTATTAAATGGAATAGGAAAAGCCAGTGAGTTTGTCATTGGAATAAAGCAGTGGGCATCACATAAATGGTCCAAATTCCCCCAAGGAATGGCCCCACCCTGAGATGAGGAAGATTATAGAAAGCCTCATGGTCTATCCAAACTAGATTAAATCTAGGTGCAACTACCAGTCATCTAAACCTAGCATGGGGACCCCACCATTTTGGGGTACAAGATATGTATCTTAACTACACTCAGACTATTAGTACACAAAGGCCACAGCACTCATGGTATATTAAACAACACTGGCCCATAAAACAGAAAAGGGCTTTGAGAGAGAGAAATCCAGTCTAGGAACGGTAGGATGAGCTGAATTTTCTTCCCATGAGGAGCAGCATTCAAAGGAAAAATATTTATACTAGAATAAGCCAATTAGAGAGAATTCCCTTTCAAGAGGAAGGCAAGGATGGAAGTCAGCCTGGAAAGATAATGAGGCTTTAGTGAAGTGGGTCAGTCAGAATCAACGAATAATGCTGGTTAATGCTAGGACCCCACACTCGCTTGTACCCTGATCTCACGGGATCTCTTGACTAGTTTAATTAAGATGGAGGCCCAAAGTAGTCATGGGGCATTGGCCCTCTATCCTAGATGCTGAGGCTTAAGGGGTACGCCTATGGGAACCTTATGGACCTCCAAACCTATGGAAGTTCTCTGGGGGCCCTTATAATTCACATTGTTGCACTATGATTGGCCTCACCCCAAAAGCAGATCAGAATAAGATGTATCCTGTAGTAGAGGTAGCAGGGGTAGAAAACTACTCTGAATAATACCTGTGTCCTCCTCACAGGAGGGACATGGGCCTTTTTACAATATGCCAAGCCATCTGAAGGAGCTGGCAATGACTAAGGCTGCAAGAATTTGAGTAGAAAAATAAAACAGTACTAAATTATAATCAAAAGTATAAAATAAGGGGGCTGGCTGGTTAGCTCAGTTGGTTAGAACATAATGCTGATAACACCAAGGTGCAGGGTTTGATTCCTGTACTGCCAGCACCAAGAAAAAAATATATAAAATAAGTATCCATGAGTCCATACTGATATAAATAAACGATATGATAAATAAATAAATGGGAGAGAATAACCAAATCTCCCATGCAGAAAAATTCCAAATAATTTACCTTCAAGGAGGTATAGCGTAACTCCACACTCCTTAAGTGTTTGCTATGCATAGTGACTTCTTCCCCAAGACTATGAAAGTGAGGGGGGTTGCTGCAGGAGGGATATGATATTACAGTGAAGAAAACTGACAAACACGACCTCAGCCAGGCGCTCAACGTTAACATCAACAGTGATTAAGTTTTCATAAGTTCCCTTGATACGATGTGCCGAGAATGACACTTTACTACTGTCATCGTCCTCAACCAAAACCATAGCCCCAGTCTAATCATGAGAAAAACACCAGATAGGTCTTAAGAGACAGTCTACAAAATACCTGACCAGTACTTTCAAGGTCATCAAAAACAAGGAAACTGAGAAACAGTCACAGCCAAGAGTTTAAGGAGACATGATGACTAAAAGTAATGGGTTACCCTGGATGAGATCCTGAAACAATTAAAGGTATTAGGTAAAAACTAAGAAATCTGAATAAAATATGGACTTTAGTTAATTATTATTGATATTGGCTAATTAATTGTGACCAATGTACTGTATTAACATAAGATATTAATAATAGAGTAAACTGCCTATGGGGTATATGGGATCTCTCACACTATCTTTGCAATATTTCTGTATATCTAAAATAAAAAGTTTCTTTAAAAAATGCCTAACAGCCTAACATACATAAAATATATAGCTTGTATGCACTAAAGCCAGTTCTAATTATGCTTCCTTTTTATGTCTTTATTAGATATGGATTTATTATGTTTTTTAACCATTCCTCTTCAGTATGATACCCTCCATACAGCTGATTCATCTCATCCTACTAGCCTCATTTGGCAAAAAACACATTCAAACAAAAACTACAGGGCATAAAGCTTATTACACAAAATCTCTTTATCTCCAGAGAGTTTCTATGAACTCAAGATGGTTTTTATCATAAAATGGCAGAGATTACAGTTATCAGAATGATGTGACCTTCCTGTGAACTCCCAGGATGGTCATCTGTGTTTCTCTAGTGTCCTGTCAAACCTTAATCTATTTCTGTATAGATTATATCGCCCTCACTAGATTGAGAGAAATTTAAGGATGCAGCTAGGTCTTTCTAACCACTGCATTTCCCCCAAATATTGGCACAGTCGTTAATACTCTTGGCATTAATAAATGCTAGTATCTGACCTAAAAATTCTATGCTTGGGAAGTTATTGATAAGGGAGACCTGCAAAGGTGCAAAGATTTGTAAACATAAGAATATGTATCAGAGAACAGTTACATGAGAGAATACTATACACCATTAACAAATACGACCAAACGTTTTTGGGCCGGCCTGGTGGCGCACTGGAGAGTGTGCCGCTTGGGAGCGCAGCGGCGCTCCCGCCGAGGGTTCGGATCCCATGTGGAGACCGGTTCCCGCTCACTGGCTGAGCGCGGTGCAGGCGCGACACCGAGGGTTGCGATCCCGTTACCGGTCAGTAAAAAAGACAAAAAGGAAAAAAAAACAAATACGACCAAACGTTTTTACTAACAAGAAGAGATAGGCATGACAAATTCCTAAGTAAGAAAGCTAATTTTTTAAAAGATCATAATTTTAGGAGAGAGTGTAATGTAAAAATTGAAAATTCCGTTCTGTTTATAGATGCCTGTGATGTGATTCTTGGCATATTCTGTGGATTTTTAGAAAATCACAAAATGAAGAAACAGAGAGCAGATTTGGGAAGAACTCAAGCGATGAAGCCAAACTGCCTGGGTTTGCATTCCAGACCTGCTTTGTACCAGCTTGGGCAAGTTACTTACTATCACATGAATGCAGAAGAATTCCTTAATTATTTCCATTCTGGGGGCTCCAGTTTTGTCTAAACTCACACCTATGGTTGTCCCAGGCATTACAGTCTTTGATTCTGCAAGAGTGAAACTAAATCTTTCTAGGCCATATGTGTACAACTTTGAAGTTACAACAAGTTATATGCCTCCTCCACAGGAAAAATTTCATAAGGGATATGTAGACAGTAAATGAAGTAGATGACATGCATATTAAAAACTCCTATATTACTTGAGCATTTAGCTCTTTTTCATATTTGCAAATATCCATCACAGTTAATTTTATATTTTCATTTTTCCTAACCACACAAAATTCAGTACATAATATAATCATAATAGCTCATATAAATTGAGTATATTTTATGGGTCAGTATTTTTAAGGGCCTTACATGTGTCAATTTAGTCATTATAACAAGCCTACAGGTAAGTGCTTTTATTCCCTCCATTTTACAGATGAGGAAATTGAGGTGCAGAGAATTTAATTTCTCAAGTATATACAGATATTAAGATCCCCACATGGCCTAGGAGGTACTGGAATGAGAAAAGATAAGCATACTGCCTTTCACACTCCAAGCACATATATGGCCTAATACAAAATCATCCTAGCAAATCTCAAACCAGACTTGCTTACTGTTACAAAGTGGAAAGCACATTTTAGGAAACAAAAAACAAAAACAAGAAAGTAGTTCATAGAAGAAAGAAATTTCACCTCACCTTGAACATGGTTTTTAGATCCACAGTAGCCATGCTTCCCTGCTCCTCAGGACACTTCTGGAAAAACACAGAACTGGAGAAGGAGAATGGAATTAGGAAAAACCAGTTGTGTGCAACATAAACTAAGACGTACTCTCATGCTCTCAGCCTGTGCACACAGATGAAAGTCAAAGAGAGAATAGCATCTTTCGTCATCTTTGCATCAAAAAGAAAACTCAGGATGGGAGCTACCTGGGGCTGCAACTTCTCAGAGGTCTCAGATCACTACTTGAGAGAGTCCAGGCATGGTAGGGCTGCGAGGAAGTGTAATCATCTTCACAGAGCTCCTAGGATTCACCACAGGGAATGGGAATTCCTATTCCTGATGACTCTATCTCAGGTGTCTCCCCTTCATGACATGGGGTCTTCTTCAGCTCTAAAATTCTAGCCCAAGATCACAGCTGTAGCTCAGGGTTATTCACTATTAGCTGTTACTTTCATCCTGTGGATCAATGTTCACAGATTCCCCTGCCTCACTTCACCACCCCATACCATATTAATCTGTCTCCCAACCCTAACTTCATCCCACAAATCCATACCTCATCCCACACCTTCCACTCCTACAGAAACAGTAATCTCACCATGCCACTGTCTTCATGTCACCCCAAGAATTTTCTCTGTGGACTTGCCCACCTCACACAAACACAGAGGAGAGGACCTTGATCTCCCTGCTACGGCCTCTGGAAATCATAAACTCAAACTGAGGGAAGTCTCAGAAACTTCAAAGAGTTTCAGCAGACACTGGTTGAGTGCAGGTATAGGGTCCTAACTTAGACCGCTCTGACTGCTATAACAAAATACAATAAAACTGTGTGGTTCATAAATAGCACAAATTTATTTCTCACCGTTTTGGAGGCTGGGAAGTCCAACATCAAGGGGCTGATAGATCTGATGTCTGGTGAGGACCTGTTTCCTGGTTCATAGACAGCACCCTCTCACTATGTCCTCACATGGTGGAAGGAGAAAGGCAGCTTCCTGAGGCCTCTTTCATATGGGCACTGATCCCATTCATGAGACCTCCGCCCCCATGATCTGATTACCTCCAAAAGTCCCACCTCCTAAAACCATCACACTGGGGATTAGGTTTTCAACTATGAATTTTGGGGGGGAGGGCACAAATGGTTCTGGAGGGGCTTGCTGCTCTTGGTGTGAGGCTCGTGGACTCAAAGGCAGCCCAGGAATTTAACACTTGTGTCCCCAGGCTTTAGAGAATTCTAGCCCCTGCTTGGAATGCACATGTGCGTTCTGTGGCGTTGTTCCTAAGCTTCAGAGTCTGGCAGGTGTTAGGCCCTGGCCCTGGTGTATGACTTGAGGTTCAGCATTACTCTACATGACCTTGTGCTTGGGTATGCTTGCTTTCTCTGTGTGATCCTTTTTTGTTTTGTCAAACTGGGAGTGAGAAGATTTGGATTTGAAACTGTGCACATACTGGAAGCTTCCAAGTGTAGTTTATGGGCTTGGTTTGGAGAGGCAAGAAAAACCATCATTAGATCAGATCTAAGATTCCATCCATGATTTAATAAACCAATTTTTTATGCATAGATTAGTAAGAAAATTAAAAAGTGATGTAATGTGTTCTTATTAATTAGCTCCTTTTTTCTTCTTGGCATTTGTAAAACTGTAAACATATTCTTTTTTTTTTTTTTTCCTTTTTGTCTTTTTTCGTGTCCGGCAACGGATCGCAACCCTCAGTGTCGCGCCCGTACTGGACCGGGACCAGCAATGGTATCACAACCCTTGGTGCTGCTCCCACACCTCGCTCAGCCAGTGAGCGGGAACCAGTCTGTATGTGGGATCCGAACCCTCGGCGGGAGCGCCACTGCGCTCCCAAGCGGCGCACTGTAGCAGTGTGCCACCGGGCCGGCCCTGTAAACATATTCTTAAAAGCTTTATTCAAGTAAAATATGCATACCATAAAATTCACCTGTTATAAGCATGCACTTCAATAACTTCAGTAAATTCATAGTTGCGCAACCATCATTTACAATCCAGTTATGAAACATTTCCATCAGCACAAAAAGCTCTCTCCTGCCCATTTGCAGTTAATCTCCACTACAACACTCAGCCCTGATTTGCTCCCTGCCTCAATAAATTTATCTTTTCTAAACATTTCATGTGAGAACTGCAGAACTCACAGCACCTAACAACTGTCCAAACCATTGCATTATGAGACAATGAAACTCTAGCATGACTTCTAGAAGTTTAAGACCATATCCCTAGGATGACCCCAGACCCCCTTAAAATGCCTGCCTGAGAGAGCTCAGCGCTGCCTGAAGAGTTCACTGTTCGTTGTAGCCAAAACCTGGTGATAGGCAGATAGGCTCCTAAACCCCTCTTAGTGCAGTTACTTTAGAAAACTTGCAATTGTAAATCCTTTCTCTGCCCTTTGAGATGTAAATCCACCACCTACCACTCAGAACTACTTCTTCAAAAACGAGAGAGTTTGATACGCAAACATTCAGGAAGATAACTTACTTCTTTGGAAGAATAAGAGCCTAACCTTGGTGGGTTCTGTGTTCCAACTTGCACCACTGCCTCCTGTCATAAAGATCTGAAAATTTTGTTTCTTCTCCATATATTTGCCAACTAGCAAACCAGTTACATGGACCAAACCCACTTTTCACCCTTCAATGCCCTTCCCCTAGCACACCCCAGTCTTTAAGAAGTCTCCTGTTTTTTGTTTAAGGGAAGACGAGTTCAGTTCATGAAGGACTACTCCCTTCCCTATTGCAATGGGTATTACTGAATAAAATCTGTCCTTACTGCTTTAACTAGTGTCTAGCTTTGTTTATCTTTGACACATATAAATAGAATTATATAATATGTAGTCTTTTGCATCTAGTTTCTTTCACTTATAATTTCTAAGGTTCACCCATGTTGTAGCATGTACGATTGCTANTCCAACTTGCACCACTGCCTCCTGTCATAAAGATCTGAAAATTTTGTTTCTTCTCCATATATTTGCCAACTAGCAAACCAGTTACATGGACCAAACCCACTTTTCACCCTTCAATGCCCTTCCCCTAGCACACCCCAGTCTTTAAGAAGTCTCCTGTTTTTTGTTTAAGGGAAGACGAGTTCAGTTCATGAAGGACTACTCCCTTCCCTATTGCAATGGGTATTACTGAATAAAATCTGTCCTTACTGCTTTAACTAGTGTCTAGCTTTGTTTATCTTTGACACATATAAATAGAATTATATAATATGTAGTCTTTTGCATCTAGTTTCTTTCACTTATAATTTCTAAGGTTCACCCATGTTGTAGCATGTACGATTGCTAAATGGTATTCTTTTATATGAATGTACTACAGTTTGCTTATCCATTCACCAGTTGATGGACATTTCAATGGTTTCTAGTTTGAAGATTTTATGAGTAATGCTGCTATGAATACTCCTTTCTGTGGACCTGTTTTCATTTTTCTTCAGTAGATCCTTAGGAGAACTGCTGGGTCATACAGTAAGCTTGTTTTCAACTTTTTAAGAAATTACCAAATTTTTTCCAAACTGGCAGTACCATTTTAACATTCTCAGCAGCAATGAATAGGGGTTCCAGTCTGTATAGAAATGCAAATATTTAGAATAGCCAAACCAATTTGAAAAAAGAAGGTCAATGCTGAAGGATTTAGCCTACCTGATTTCAAATCTCACTATAAAGCTAAAGTAATCAAGTCAGTGTGGTTCTGACATAATGATAAACATATAAATCAAAGATACAGCATGGAGATTCTAGAAGTAGACCCTCACATACAATTAATTATTTTGACAAACTTACCAGGGTAATTCATTTGGAGGACAGTCTTTTCAAAAAATGGATATGCAAATAGAATGAGCCTCAACCCTTACCTCAATCCATATACAAAATTTAACTCAAATCATTGACCAAGTTGAGAAAGTTCTATTCTATTTCTAGTATGTTGAGAGTTTTTATCATTAATAAGTGCTGAATTTTGTCAAATCCTCTCTCTGTGTTTATCGAACAGGTCATGAGGTTTTTGTCCTTTATTCTATTAAAACGGTGTACTAATGATATGGTTTGAATGTGTCCCCCTCCAAATTCAGGTTTTGCCAATGTGATGGTATTAACAGGTGGGGACTTTAAGAGGTAATTAGGTCATAAGGGCTCCTCCCCTAGAAAATGGGATTAAGTGCCCTTATAAAGGAGCTTAATGAAGGGAGTAGGTTCCCTCTTTCCCTTCTACTTTCCACCACAGGACACAGCATTCCTTCCCTCTGGAGAACACAGCAAGAAGGCCCTCATCAGACACCAAATGCCAGTGCCTTGATCTTATAATTCCAGCCTCCAGAACTTTGAGAAATAAATTTCTGTTCTTTATCAATTACCCAGTCTGTGGTATTCTGTTATAGCAGTAGGAAATGGACTAAGACAATTACACTAATTGATTTTCTTCTGTTGGACCAAACTTGCATTCCTGGGATCAATCCCAACTGACTGTGTATAACCTAGGTGTATGTGGTTGGATTTAGATACCTTCCATTTCATCAAGGATTTTTGCATCTATTTTATTCATCTGTGTTATTGGCTCTAGTTTTCTGTCATCTATAATTTTCTTTTCTTGTGATGTTTTTGTCTGGTTTTTTATCAGGGTATCTATCTACTTGTTTTAATTATTGACAGTGGGGTACTGAAATCTCCAGTTATAATTGTTAAATTGTCT